TCTCGGCCACTACTTCAATAAATTCACTCAAAATTTAATAAATATTCATTTTTTTTAGATTTTCTTAATATTATTTATTAAATTTGTAATTTACTGGGTATTTGCTAGTCCAGCACTCTGTTCGATCTCCCAGTTAGCTCCTCATTTGTTCGGCCTATTGATATTCTCTAAGCTCATCAGCATAAGTTGGATTTGCATATGCTCAGCCGCTCATAAGAGCTAGTTCAGAGCTAACAGTTCCGGCTGTATACGCTAAGCTTTTCGACAACACAGAGAACAAAAAGCTCGCGGCTCATGCGCTCAAAGCTCGCTTAATTGAATAACAGTTCGATTCAATGCGATTCAATGCGATGCGATGCGATTCCATTCAAAATGGAATAAAGCAATTTGCATAGTTCAAAGGGAACTAATTCCTTTTTATGATCGAGCCAAGTGCTGACACCAAATTGTTGTTCCAGTTCACCAGAATCCGGCGTCAAAAACAGATGTCAAACATAATTATAGAACTTTCGAATAACTTTCTAACAGCTTTGACCCCATGATGACCTCTCGCCGAGTCGCAACTTTCATCTAGGGCCACAGGCAAGAATTCACTCACACACACACACACACACACACGTGCCTAATGAGTATTTATGCGTTTTTTATGTATTTCCATTAGCATAAGGCTGGCACTTGTTTTTTTTTTTTTTTTTTTTCTCGATTTCAGGTCCAGGTGCACAAGTCCAAGCCCCAGCCCAAGCCCCAGCCTAGGCCCTGCCGACTGTCCGGGCTGCTAATGAACGGCCAGCGTCTTGGCGCGCCTTTGTTTTAATCGATGGGCTGAGCTCGCGGTTCTCTTTTGCATAATTTAGTTATTAACAATTGGTTTATGTCCCTCATAATAGGCCAAACACGATGAATACATATTTTCACCGGAGATAAGCCCAAAGGCTGCCCGGGCCGACGAGGCATGTGAATTATCGACGTGGCTTTTGCGGCGGGGTGGGAAAACAAAATACAAGAGCCACACCAGATAGATGAAATAGATTCGCACATAGACATAAATAAGTCGCTGGGCGTCTAGGGGCGTGGCAATGAAAGCAGCAGGCAGAATGAAAAGAAAAGAAATGAAATGAAATGAAATGAAATGAGAAATAGGCGGAGAAGCAGGAAACCAACTGGGAACGAGCAGATCAGAGCCAAGATCTGTTGAGAATTAATGACTCCAACTAATTTGATCTATGCAATCCGAGTGTGGAGCCCAACATCATATCATTCACCATCAATTGGATTTGGCGAAATCAAAGATCTCAAGCGGCCAAGCCATCTAAGAACATCAATCGATCTTAGCCAAATTCTGTTGCTGGCCATTCCATTGTCTTTGCTGAGAATTGATGACGCTCCATAAATCTAAAGCTATAGAATGTCTAAGATCTGCATACAATATGTGCTATATATAGCAGCCACATTTCATTATCGGATTTCTACGATTCTTTGGCTTCATCGAACTTTTCCATATGCGATCTGTGACCTCTACAAATCTTCAATTCCCTAAAGAAAGATTATTTATTTCTTGTGCTTAACATTAATAAATAAGAAATAAATTCAGTGACTGGCCATGCATCAAGCCAATCCACGCATATTATCAGAGCTGTCAAAATATTTATAAAGTTGATATGTATGGGGAGTGCGAGGAGCAACCCTGAACAAAGGTAGAACTACATATATTGTTATGACTTGAATATGACTTGGCACATATAGATCTATAAGAAAAGGGAACATTAGTATTATTTTCACTATTATTATTTTATTCTTGTTTTTTTATTTTTTATACCCTGAACCCATTTTCAATGGGAAATCAGGGTATAATGGTTTTGTTGAAATGTATGTAACAGGGAGAAGGAGGCGTGGCAGACCCCGCAAAGTATATATATTCTTGATCAGGGTGACGAGCTGAGTTGATTTGGCCCTGTCCGTCTGTCTGTCCGTCTGTCCGTCTGTCCGTCTGTCCGTCTGTCCGTATGTATGAACGCGTCGATTTCAGAAGATATAAGAGCTAGAGACTTCAAATTTTTTTTAAAATGTCCGTAATTACAGCGCGCATATCAAGTTTATCATTAAAAATCGATAACTCATCTCGATCTTTTTTTATCGATAAAAAACCTTATCGAAAACAAGTTATAAAATTATATCTTCTACACCTTTATTGCTAGTCTCCAAATTTTTAATGTATGCTTATATGCAATTTATACAATTTCGATTTTTGTTAAAATTTACCCCCCACCTCTAAATTCACCCTCTCACCCTCACTTTTGTAAAAAGCGTATTTCAAATACTAGAGACTTGTGCTTTGGCAATTACATGCATATTCATGTTATAATCATAATCTAAAAGTTTCATGAAGATCGTACGTCCATAAAAAAAGTTATTAAACAATTAAGTTCTCATAGTAAGCGCACACTGCAGCCCATGCGTGTTTTTGCTTGTGTGTGTATATGTATGTAATTGTTTGTGTATGTATGTGTGTGTGTGTATGTGTGTGTGTATGTGTGTGTGTATGTATGTGTGTGTATGTATGCCTGTGTGCGTGCGTGCGTGTGTGTGTGTGTGTGTGTGTGTGCGTGTTTCTTGTGTAAGCTGAAAGACGCGAAAAATTATTGAAATAGCTATTACTCCAAGGGTTCAGGGGATCTCGTTTCTTTCTTACTTGTTTATTATTATTATTATAATTTTGTTTTCTTAATTTTTATATTATTTTAATTATTTTTTAAATATTTTAAAGATTTAGTTATTATTATTTTATTTTTATTTTATATTATTATTATTATTTTTATATTTGATTTTTATTATTTTATTTTTATTTATTATTATTTTATTTATTTTATATTATTTTATTATTATTTATTTTATATCATTTATTTTTATTATTATCCTTAATTTATTAGAGATCGAATCATCTTCTATCTAAGAATTCTCACTTACACTCATCGCCTCTACCATGACCATTCCACCTCTACCTTTTCGCTAAGTAGAACATTTTTACCTAAAGTAAAGTAAAGCTGACAATTCAGGCACAATTCGATCGCAATCTCATTTCACCTCATCTCACTCACATCTTCTCCAGTAGAATATTTTCTAGAATTTAAAATTTCATATGAAACTAAATACATTCAAGCAATACAGTTTGGAGAGTCTAGCTCCAGCGGTATATGAAATAATATTGCATTACTCGATAAGGCTTTAAATTCATAACCGGGCATGGTTATCGATTATTGGAAATCAATTTGAGTCCTATAGGCACTGAGATCAATCGAATGGGTAGTAGGACGGTCTCTCCTCTCCTGCTGTGACAAATTGACTGAGCCCAGCTTTCTCTCTATTCCAAGAAGAATTTTGATAATTCCACAAATATATGTAAATCTAGGCACTAATAGAATTAATCCAACCACCAAGGAAGATCTAACATAAATCTTAGGTAAGCGAGGGTGCTCAACAATCTCATTGGGATCGACTGGCAAATATGTCCCATATAACTGTAGAACTTTCAGCAGTTCAAGTCTTGAATGTCAACAGCCCTATCACAGTCTACAGCTCTGGTTTCAGTTCATTAATCGATTGAACCAAATGTAAACTAAATGCCATAACTTTCTAAAAGCGTCAACAATAGAGTTTATTTTTAAATGTCTGTGACATTGGAATTTCGTTAGCATTGTTTGCATATTTTAAAACTAGAGCAAAATATTTCGCGGCGTTCTCAAATAGAAATTGTTTTCACAAAACGTTTGGCATAGTCATAAATATGATTAATATGAATCTATGATTAATATGAATCTAATATTAATATGAATACAACATTTGTTTACCTATATATAATTAATTGGGAATTTGTAATGAATTTGCATAACAATACAAAGGATGATTCCATATACAGCTTGTAAACAAATATATTTTCATATAGCGAGAAGTCATTAAACATTTGACCACCTGCTGTCTCTCCCTCTCTCTCTCTCTCTCTCTGTAGAAGTCCCATACTAGCTTAGCCATGTCTGATAGCCCAATTAATAATAAACTGGACTGTAAACAAATTGAGAAATTTATTCGCAACGGGGAAGTCCAGCGGCTAGAAACTCGAATTCAAATGCTCTAATGTCAAAACTGTGCCATATGCGCATATCTATCTTGCTCTGGCCTTTAGTACATACACTTACAAGACAGAGAGAGGGAGAGTGGGAGAGAGAGAGAGAAAAGAGAATCTATATGCTGTTAGTGAACTGTGACTCGAGTGAGTCCATTTGGGGTCGAGCTTGGCCTGGTCGCACATTGATAAATGCGCGGTCGAGACTTCTGGCCAAGAACTTGGCTTGACTTCGGCTAGATCTCACTTGTGACCCAAAAAACAAAGAAAAAGAACATGGCTACGGGCTGGATTGGCTGGCCTGGCTCGGCTTGGCTTGGCTTGGTAACTTTCCGATGGCGACGACCTAAAATGCAAATTTCCGCCTCTGATTTGGCGAATGCGATTCAGCTCGAGTTGCTTCTGATTGGCGAGGGAGACGAAGACGCAGACGAAGACGAAGACGAAGAGAGGGGACAAAAGGGAGGGGGCAATGCAGCGGGCGGTCAGTGACACGCGTGGTGCGACCCGGAGCTGACTTGCATGCAGAGTCCCGAGAGTCCATAGTCCATAGACCAAAGTCCAGGCCCAGCCGGAGTATCAGTCGCAGTCGCAGTCCAATCCAGTCCCGTTCCGTCCAGAAAAAGCGGCCAAGCCAGCGCTAAGGCGAATGCATAAATTAACGTGCGGCATTTGCATAGTTTATTAAAATTTGGCATTCGCCAGCAACGGCCGTTTCATTCTTCTTTCTGGCCATTTTCATTAATTTTTCGTCCAATTTTGTGTTAAGTGTGTGTGTGATTTTATGATGTCGGAGTGAAAGAAGCGTAGCCCCGAGCGGCTACCCCGATATAAAATGTCTTTGCCTAGGCTAGAGCCAAACCATTTAATAGACGCTCTCGCCCAGCGACAGATCAGATCAGATCAGAGCTCGACATCGGCCACTAACTCCATTTGACATGGCAATCAAACTGTTTACCCTCTTGGCTATTGGCCTGGCCCTTGCCGCCGTCATCGATGGTGAGTCGCTGGCCCCCTCTGCCCAGCCCAGCCCAGCCCCGCTCCGCCCCGCCCCGTACTATAGCGTGTGTGTGTATCCATCTCTTTCTAGCCCGTCACGTCTCCGGACACCGCCGCCATCCGCAGCAGCAGCGCGGCATCGTTGCCAAGCCCCACCACGGCGCACAGACGCGCGTCTTCCCGGGCGCCGTGGCCATCAAGAAGCTGGTGCTGCTCAAGTTCAAGAAGATCGTGCCCATCTCCCTGATCCTGCTCAAGTCGAGCAACGACAACGAGGCCGAGCTGGTGCCCGTCTACCCGACCGATCAGATACCCGAGAACGTGCAGTTCATTCCCACGCCCAACGGCATCTCCGGCCACAAGGATGTCCAGGCCATTGCCATACCCAGCGAACTGCACGAACAGCTGCAGATCAACGGTCTCTCCAACGTGGAGAACATCGAGGCTCTGCTCCAGGGTAGCTCCATCATTGGCGACAGCGTTCAGTCCGAGGACGGTGCCAGTCCCGTGGGCAACAGCATTGCCGTCGCCCAGCCCGAGGACGCGCCCCTGGTGCAGAACGACAACGACGACACCCAGCTGCTAGAGGGCGCCACAGTGCCAGCCGCTGGCGAGGTCAGCGCCAGCACCCGCCGCCTCTCCAGCAACGAGCTGCTGCACTCCGGCATCCGCAACTCCGCCCAGCTGCAGAAGACCAGCGTCGAGGAGATTCCCCTGCTGCTCTACTCGGCCACCGATGGCGGTGCACCCGGCCATGAGGTCTTCGGCGAGCGTCGCTTCGTAGCCGCCACCCCGGCACGCCGTCGCCACCACCAGTTCTACAACTAAGACGCTCGGCTCGATGGCCCCTCGCTGCCGCCTATTTATAACCGCAACTACTCCGACCCCAGCCTAGCCGAGCCTGGCCCGGCCCGGCCCGGCCTAGCCTATGCTGAGGCCTATCCACTATCTGTAGCTTTTCTTCTACCCGGCTGTCACAGCACGGCATGGGGCTTTTCTTTTCTATTTATTTTGTTTTTTTTTTTTTTTTTTTTGCTTGTGCTATTTGCTTAGACTGAACTGAATATAAATTAACATTATGAGAAATGACAAAGGCGCGCGATGTGTTGGGCTCTCTGGTTCCGGGGCTCCATGTGGGTAGTGGGGCCGGCCTTGTTTTTCCTGCGCTTATCACAATCTGAAGGCGACGACGATGACGGCGAGGACGACGACGATGGCGCAGTGCCTGCAGTTATCAGCTTTGTTGTGCCGTTGACGTGACGTGTCCTGTGCCTCTACCTCTGCCTCTACCTCTGCCCTTACCTCTACCTCTGCCTCTGCCTCTGCCCGAGCCCATGTCCTGTCGTGTGTGTGGCTGGCAGCGCCAGACAGCCAGGCAGCGGCTCTGTTAGAGAGACCTGTGCCCGTGCCCGTGCCCGTGCCCGTGCCGATGCCCGTGCCGGTGCCGGTGCCTGGGCCTGTGACCAGAGCCTGTTATAAATTTCTCGTGTCCTCACGTGCACAAAGCCGACAAACAAAAACACAAACAAAAGCCAAAGTCAACGGCACAAAAAGGCACAACAAAGGGCCGAATGCATATCGCAAAAATGGACAACAACAAAAGACAGCCAGAAGATAGCGCAGCTACGGAGCAAACAAGCCGAACGGCAAATACGCTTAACGTATCAAATAAATGAATAAAAGCTAAATTCATTACTTTTTAGCCATAATTGAAATACAAGCTGAAGTGACCACAATTTAGCTGTTTATCGGCTAACATTTTAATATGTATTATTTTGTATTGGCTTAATTAAGCCTAAGTTTAATATCAGCTTGTTTTGCAACGACATCGAATTTTCAGCCGTTTTTCGGCTAAGATTTGTATAAGCGTTTTTTTTTTTTATTTATGGAAATTTTTTTAAATTTTTTTATTTTTTTTTTTAACCTTTTACTGATACATTATAGAAACATAGGTGAATATTTTTTTTTTTTTTTTTTTGAAAAAATTACAGAACAAATAAATATTTTAAGCCGTTTTTCGGCTAAAACGGGTATATTAAAACGGGAATAAAAATTTTTATACAATAATGTGACCTTTTTTTGGAAATAAAAGTTGAAACTTTTATTTTTGTAGCTATTTTCCAGCTAAAACTTTAAAACCAAATTTTTGTCATTAAATTTTTAAACTGAATTTTTCCTGTCGACTTTGAGCTCTCCTTCTGCATCTTGAGCAACTCTCAAAGAGCTTATGTTTTTTAGCCATTTTACGGCTATATATTTATACATAAAATTCATGTAAGTGAAAAACATTTTCTTTTTAATTTTTAAGCCCAAGTTTCCTATCTACTGCCAGCTTCTTCTTCTTATCGACATCTTGAGCAACTCACCCAAACTTCCTTAACTTCCTCATAATGCGGCAAATTGACTTCCCACTCCATTTGGCATTAGCACACCCCCGAAAAGTGTAATTATTTTCCGATTTTCTTTTCCATTAAAGCCACAGAATGTTTTTGCTTTATTTACATAAGCCTTAAAAATATGTTGATAAATTAAAGTAAAGACCAAAAAAAAAAAAAAATAAATATCAACAACAACTTGACGTGTGTAAAGGTGTCGAAATCGAGTCGAGTTAAGAAATCTAAGTAAAATTTGTAAATCCGTGCTTTTTGGCCAGCTGCAGCTGCTCGAGTTTGGTCGGATAGTGTATAGGCAAACGAATTTCTAAGGGAGCAAAGGCTCATCAGCCCCGAGTTTCGGGGCAAAAGTAACTGTGTGTTCTGTGGCACGGTGCACGTAGCGGTTGCAGTTGCAGTTTCCAGTTTCCAGTTACGGTTACGGTTGCAGCAGCAGCAGGAACCGGCCCATATGTCTGCCCGGCGGACTGACAGCCTAAAAGCCAAAAGCTGACACAAAGCACTTTTCAAGATTGTAAAGCAAACTGAACGGAACAAAGGCAAGGCAGACGAAGCGCCAGATAGAGAAAGAGTGAGAGAGAGAGAGAGAGGGAGAGAGAATGAGAGAAAGTGAGAGGGAGCGAGTCAGAGAGTCTGGAACAATAAGATGCTGAACTATAATCTATGGGGCTCATTAGACTAGGCGCTCGCAGGGGCGGGCTACAGCTGTAGCCAAGTCAACGGCCGTAGTAGGGGGGCGGCACGTATATGGTCACGCGCCGGTTATCGTTCCTGTAGTTGAAGCGGCCGCAGGGCGGCGGGCCGTAGTAGGTGAACGTGCAGATGGTGCAACAGTTGAGGGGCGTGGTAATGACCATAACCGGAGTATGCCGGCTGGGCAGCGGATAGGCCAGAGGGTAGCGCGGCGGTCCGGGTAGCGGAACGCCCGGCGGCAGTGGGCGGGGCACGGGCACTGGCAACGGCGGTGGGGGCAGCGGGCGAGGAATGGGCGGCGGTATCGGAGCCACGGGCGGCAGCCCAGGCACCAAGCAGCACGGACCCGGCGGTGCCGGCGGAGACGGTGCTAGTACGTACGCCTCGCAGCAGCGATTCTGCTGGGAGGCCTCCAGGGTGCAGGGCGAGACGCAGTTGTTGAACAAGCTGTTGAACCAGTCCGTGATGACGTTCAGCGTGCGACCCTGCCGCACGCTGGTATCGTACGCCCCAAAGGTGTCGATCGAGGTGTTCAGCGCCGGCTGCAAGTCCTCCAGCCGTGACGAGCCATTCATGTTCAGAGACTCGATGTTGTCCGCGACGGCGCTGCCGTTCCTTGGCCGGGGACGCCAGCGTTGCAGCTGCACCCTCTGCTGAGCGCGACTTTGCACTGAAATCGTAAAGCAATCGAGACCGGCTTTATTGATGCCGCCCCAAAGTATGCAAAGGTGCGAACGCTTACGGAGATCACTAACCAGAGATACATGTGTATGCATGTATGTGTGCAGATCCAAAGACAAACATTGAGTGTCAAACGGGGTGAAACATCAGCCGAGCAGGAGTTACTCGAGGGAGCCTAAAGTCACTAGGTGTACAAGTCTATAGCTAAAATACTGGATGTATATAGATCCAGTATTTCCAGGCCGATTGTGGAAAGGTTTTTATATAAAGCGAGAGTTGTGCGAGTTAGAAATCGCGAGTTTAAATAATTAGAGATGGTATTTCCATACACAGAGCCGTGCGTAACTAGCAATCGATACTCGATATAAGAGAACTAGTTCTTTCAATGAGCGTCCAATGTGATCAGTCGATCGATATATGTGGGCAAAGATGTATAGCTAAATATAAATATAATAAAGGATGGACGTGCTAACAGACGGCCGGATGAACACATATATGAACGCATGGATAAACGGGAGGACTAATAGAAGAATGTGGATTACTTTAATGAACTCTAGTCGTAAGTTCCGGGTAAAGTGAACTGAACTAGAAATCAGCTGGTAGCTGAACTGAACCAGCTACAACTTTCTATTCAAATATATGGATATATGTGCTCTGTGCTGTGAGGGAATTCCCAGAGTTCCGTCCGCTCTACCGCCGTTTCCCCCTCCCTCCCCCACGAGGTGCGTATTTGGTGCATTGATACAGCTAAAATTAACAAATGCATTTTATTCGAGTGCTTAAAGTGATTCGTTGGCAAACAAAAAAAAAAAGAGAGAGAAGGAAGTGACCATGCTATAAGGATTAGGTGGTGCGGGTGGTGCTGTGCGTATTGACTCAAGTGGTACTAACGGCCAAATCCAAAAGGTCCATTGAAGGCGCCAAAGGCATTGCTATTGGCATTGGCGCCGCCGCCGCCGCCGCCGCCGCCACGCCTATTGGTTCCGCCACCAAAGGCATTGGCGTCCGCTCCAGCTCCCCCATTGCGATTGCCGCCGGCGCTGGCACTGGCGCTCGCATTGGCCGATTGCCCGTTCTGGCTGGTGGCGCTGGCGCTGCTCGACGCCGAGTTCGTCACGGAGCCGTTGGGGTTGCGCTGTGAGCTGATGTTCGCATTGGTGTTCGCCGCGGCGTTGCCCTGGTTGTTGTTGCCCTGGAAGATGGACTGGCTGTTGGCGCCCGATGTGATCGTCTGCTGGTTGCCGTTGCGCACGATCTTCGTGTCCGTGTTGGCCGTGTTGCTGGAGCTGCCCCGCTCATTGTTGTTGGTGGAGGTGGAGCCGCTGTTCGAGCCAATGGTCTCGCTGTTGCCCGTCCGCGTGTGCTCGGTGTTCGCATTCGAGCTGCTCGCCTGCTGCTCGCCGGGCCGGAAGTTCAGCGCCTGGCTCTGGGCGCCGTTCGAGCTGTGGCCCTGGCCCGACTGATGGTTGGTGTTCGCCGAGCTCACCTGGCCGCTGTTGCCGTCCTCGGCCAGATTGGAGCCGATGCTGCTGCTGCCCGCATCCTGCGAGCCGTCCGCATTCTGATTGGCAAAGTTGTTGCTGCCCGCCTGCTGATTGAACCCGGGGCCGCCCTTGGCGCCGGCACTGCCCGACGACTGCACGGGGCCGCGCTTGTTGCCGCCCTGTGGGAAACTAGGCTGACCGAAGCCCGGCTGTCCGCCAAAGCCCGGCTGTCCGCCAAAGCCCGGCTGTCCGCCAAAGCCCGGCTTTCCGCCAAAGCCCGGTGGTCCGCCAAAGCCCGGTGGTCCGCCAAAGCCCGGCTGTCCGCCAAAACTCGGAGGTCCGCCAAAGCTCGGAGGTCCGCCGAAACCGCCGCCCGGACGTCCGAACTGGCGACGTGGACGTTCCGCCTCGAAGCCGCCGAAGCCACCACCAAAGCCGTAAGACGGCTGCGGATAGCCGAAGGGCACGAACTGGGCGTGGCGCTTGGGCCGCAGGAAGCGACGATTGGCCACCTGCTGTGGGCGGAATGCGACCTGCTGCGGGCGGTACGCGACCTGCTGTGGGCGGTAGGCGACCTGGGGCGTGCGGCGTTGCCGGAATCCGTTGCCGAAGGTGAGGCCACGCGAGGCGGCCGTCTCACCGAAGCCGCCCGCATTGGCCGAGGTCTGGCCGAAGCGTGTCCGTCCGAAGGCGTTCGAGTTGCTGAACGTCTCCTTGACATTGAGGCCGCCGAGCTGCTGATTGTTGGTGAAGCTGTTGCTGTTGGAGCCGACGCGAGCGCCACGGCCCTGGGCGTTCACCTGCGCCTGGCTGAGCGTATTGCTGTCCTCCACCCTCCTGTCCAGATCGAGGCTGAGCAGGCCCAGGCCCAGTCGCACATCGCCGTTGGCGTCGCGCTGCAGTCCGAAGCCCTGCCGGAGGTTGTCCGGCGAGAGGGAGGCGCCCAGGCCGACATCGCCAATGCGGAACTGATTGGCCACGCCGCCGCCGACCACCGCCCCGTTCGCGTTGGTGCGTGTGCGCGTGAAGGTGTTGCCCAGCTGCAGTCCGCCCAGGTCCAGGCCGCGGGTCAGCGCCTGGCTGTTGGCGACCACGCGCTGTCCGTTCTGGCGCGTCACAGCGCGCGAGTTGGACACGCCGCGCGTGAGCTCCAGATCGTTGCCAAGCTCCACCTGGCGCTCGTAGGCGTTTGTGTTGGCCCTGGACACGGAGCCCTGTAGGCCGCGTCCGCCGCCTCCAAAGAAGCCAGGCTGTCCACCAAAGACGGGTTGACCGAACGGTGCAAACTGCGCCTCAGCTAACACAACGAGAGAGAAGGAGAGAGAGAGAGTGAGTGAGAGAGAGAGAGAATGAAAGTTGATGCGACCTGAAGGCAAATGCAAAAGTTTTTGGCCCATCTGGCGAAACTTTGTTATTTGTTGTGCGATATTTAAGATAAACATATCACAAGATTCATGCATTTATAATCCCCCCTAAAAGACACACAGAGAGAGAGAGAGAGAGAGAGAGAAGGGGGAGAGAGTGGGAGAGAGACAGCAACAACAATAGCAAAAGCAACTGGCTCAAAGAACTCCTCAAACTTGTTCCGCACGCCTCGTTCTCGTCTTTGTTTTTTTCCATATTTGTTCTTTTAATTTTATTATTATTATTTTTTTTTTTTTTTTTTTTTGAGACTGATTCTAATTTGAATATCATTTAAATGTGCGCGGTATTTTTCCCATTATTATTATTATTATTTTCAAATTCTGTTTGCGGTTTCTTCGTCGCTCGCATTTTTTTTTGTTTTTTGCTTTTTGAGCTTCTTTCAACTTTTTGGCAAAGTTTTTTATGCTAACTATCTGGCGTGAAAGTCAAAGAAATATAAGTATATATTAAGTGTATATATTCCCATGGCAAGTATAATTACGTTTGCGCTTCTAATGAAACATGCAATTAACATATATCATAAAATATGAATATGAAAATATAAAATACAAGTGTTTTAAAATACTGCTGAATGTTATTATAGCATTAATGAAAAGCGAAACAGGGGAATATTGAGAAATAAAAAAATTATAGAAAATAAAAATTGAAAATTGTTAAAATACTTGAGAATAATGTTTTTTTAACATAATGTATTAGTAAGTAAGAAATAATAACAAAAAACTGCGTCTCTAGTCTTTGATATTCGCCCTTTGCGAGCTTGGGGGAAAGGGCTGGATTTGGTGGTGGGGGTTGGATTATAGCAAAAATTGAAGTTCTATGAAATAAACACGAATCTATGTTTAAAATTTTGAGACTCTAGCTCTCTAAATGTAGGAAAGATTTGCGATGAGATTCTTAATCGATTACACAAATAACGGGAACTGTTATCTATTTTTGGAAACTAACTCGATCGATATGGACTCACAAAAAGTAAATCATTCTCTCAAATTTCTAGCTTCTGAGATCGACGCGTTCGCACAGACGGAGAGACAGACAGACATTATTATTATTATTATTATTTTACCCCGGTTCCCCATTTTCAGTGGGTTCTGAGTAAGGAAAGAATTGCATCTGCTGCTATTTTGATTTGTAAGAAAAAGTTATCTCTATTCACAACTGATTTGGCTCAGATCTAATTATAATACACCATATAAATATATAATACACCATATACAGTAGAATGTGGCTATAACGACTCTGGTCTCGAGACAGACTTATATGAGTAAACTTATATGGTTATAGCGTCTTCCGGGTATAGCGACGGTCCTCTGAGCGTCGTTATAAACGGATGCTACTGTATGTATAATATATAATTATTCTTCCCAATGTCAATTTTCATAATTTGTATCACAACTCAAGGTCAACTGCTCTATAAGTCCAGCATACTCTTACACAAAAATATTATCGCATTTTCCTTCAGTTATTTAACAGAAGAAAAAAACAAATAAAACAAATTTTATACACTTTCACATATAAAAATCAATAAAAAAAAAAAAAAAAACAGCAAATAAAATAAATAAAATATTATTGCATCACTGTTTCAATTGGAGCACTTTAGCTTTCGCACTTGTTGCACTGAACAAAAAAAAAAAAGTAATTATACAAAAAATATATATTGAAAAAAAAAAGAAAAGAATCGATTATATAAAGTGTTATATAATGTTATTCGATATTTTAACTGCCCGTTGTTGTTGACACATAATTTGGAAACGCGTTTAATCGGCGAGCGTAAGCAAATGTTTGCAACTTCACTTGGCTAGGGAAGGGTGAGGGAGAGGGAGAGGGAGAGTGGGAGTGGGTGAGCGAGTGAGCGAGAGCTCGTCAGTTGTACTGTGTGGATGCCCCATTATCCCTGTTCGCGTATTCTCTGCGCTGCGCTTTTGCCGTGCCCGTCAATATGCCGTGCACGTTGCCGCAAAATCCGGCGATAATTTCGCAATTATTGCTGTAATATCAAAGCCTAAAAGTACGCGCCGTGTCTGTGTGTGTGTGTGTGGGTGTGTGTGTGTAGGTGTATTGGTGTCATTATCCTGTCTGCCCGCTGTTCGTTTCGCTATTGTTGTTATTGTTATGGCTGTTGTTGCTGTTGCTGCTGTTGCTGTTGCTGCTGTTGTTGTTATTGTTGTTGTTGCTGTTGCTGTTGCTGTTGTTGTTAGTGCTGCTGCGCCGAGGCACAAAAATATTTACCTTGCGGTTGACAAACTGCCAGCCAACACACAATTAATCCAGCAAATGCGTGCCGCATCCTCATCCTATCTGTGGCTCTCTACGTATATCTCGGTTGTAGTATCTGCGTATCTGATATCCGCCCGATGCCCGACTCTCAGCAGCTGTGTGCTACCTAATTTACCGTTGCGAAAACAGCGCACGCAATGAGCGCGTTTTTGGCCGCTGGCGACTTTTATCGTGCGCGGTTATTGTCGTCTTTTCGACGTGTTCTTTTTTTTCTGATGTTCTTTTTTTTTATTTGTTTTTGTTTTTTTGCTACTGCTGCTGCTGCTGCTGCTGTTGCTGTTGCTGTTGCGCGTGTGTTTTGCGTTAAGCGTTCGCTGGCGTTCTAAGCCTCTCGCTGGTGTTGTAATCAGGCTTTAAACCAAACAATAATTAACGCGTTTTATTGATTAGCTGCCGACTGAGGCGTTGCGCCGGACGTCAGCGTCGGCAGCAAGCTTATGTTGATTATTAAACTACATACACACGTATGTGTGTGTATGTATGTATATTCACCATTTTTGTTTGTTATCTTGAGAAGAAATTGAATTTCGTACAGGTTTTGGGGGGGCCAGACTAACCTGGCTTTTGTGATTCTGCCGAGCTCGCAATTCTCGTTTAACTTGTTTCCTAATGCTTGAGCAGCAGCAACAACAACAATAACATTATCTCTATAGCATTTGCTTTGTGGATGAGTTCATAAAAAACTACACAAAAAAAATCAAGCGAAATTATTCTTTTTTTTTTTTTTTTTTTTTGATAAATATTTTATCGCTTCCAGATGTGAAGTTGATTTTCGTAGGGGATTTTTGGGCATTGCTATTATTGTATCAAACAATCGATACGATTGAGTTTCTATAATATACATATATATAGAGAAAGTCTTCATTGTCTGAGTACAGTACAGCTAGATGACATTTCAAATATGACGAGCTCCTAAAGAAAGAAGATCAATTGAAAAATGTGTCAAGATATGATTAGTTTTTGAATATGTTCTGAAAGAAAGAGAGAGGGATAGATTGTAAGAGGGAGAGAGAGGGGGGGGATGAGAGAGAGAGAGAGAGAGGGACAATGACATTTAGAGAGACGGCAACCGAGAGAGAGGGATAGAGCGAGAAAAAGAAGAGACTAAGACATAGAGGGAGGGAGAGAGAGAGAGAGAGAGAGAGACAATCGTTCAACAGAGCTCTGCTCAAGTAAATAATTGCCGTCTAACACAAATCCAAAGAAAGAGTATACGTACAGTAAAGCTCATCCATAACAAACGACACCTATACAAAAACATATTGCACGTTGGATTACAGTAAAACTATCCTACACCAAATGCTTAATAATATAATAAATAAGTTATATGGAAATTTCTAATAAAAAGAGAAGACCTAAGACTTTGTATAATAACTAATCTATATAAGAACCGATTCCTAAAAAAGAGAGACCTACAGTACAGCTCTGATTACAGACGTTTGCTCTATAAAAAAAAATGCAATTAAAATAAAAGCTTTTAAAGCTTTTCCATAAGAAGTCTTTACTATCTTCATCATATTCTCAAAGAAGGAAGGAGAGAGGGAGAGAGAGAGAGAGACAGAGAAAACTGTCAGTAAAGCTCTCTTATAACAAATGCTTTGTTTTTATACAAGAAGGAAAATTACAGCAAAGCTCTCCTATAACAAACCTATATTATCTACTTTAAAACATATTCCACAAAAGAGAGAAGACTCTGCAGTAAAGCCTCACTTCAACAAAAATCGAGTTAGCATTTCAAGTAAGAAGACATATAGTAAAGTTCCCCTGTAATGACTTAATGTCGACTATGTTCAAGTTTTTAAAAAGTTTCTAACATTTTCAATTGAATTTGAATTCCCTCAATGCCACTATAGCCAGCTATCACTGTACTCAGTACAAGATTAATGTGTGTGAGCACTTGGTCATTTCTAGAGCTGAGGTAAACTTGAAAGAGCTCATAGACGTAATTGAATACTCTCGGCGTACACTCAAAGTAGTTGAAGTGTGAATAGCTGAGAGTGGAACAAGTCAGCTGCATTGTCTCTAGGCCCTGAATACTCTGATCGGCCAGACTCGGAAAGAGAAGCTGAGCAGAGGTTTAGCTGGAATTCAAGTTCGCATCAGCTCGACATCTCTGGGGCGGCTACGTAGCTACGCATCTGTTTGTTGACCCGCTGCGTCGCCATAAAACCCAGCAGACCCATCTAGCCGGTAGTGGGAAGTTGCCGTATGGCTTTGGCTTCACTTCAGGGCCAAGCGGGGCTTACGAGTTTCCCATTAGCGTCAACGTACGCGCTGTAGGTCAGTCGAGGCACATGATATTTATTATTATTCGCATATTCATTATCCGAATTAGTCATTAAATTGTCTTTAGCTCGTCTGTTGACAAATCTCTTTAGCGCTCAGCCAACTCGTCCCAGAACAGTCCCCAGCTCTGTCTTTGGCTCGAATAGCAGCGGCTCTGTTCAGGAAGACAAATATTTAATGTTTCTGTTGCTTTCTTGACTAATTTGACTACCTAGATTTTGGCAGATAAAAAGCTAACATTTCGTATAGATGGGAGGTAAGTTTACTTTAGGATATCTTGCAAATATATATCTTATGAGCGAATGATGCTACTAAAGCGGAACCCATGTAGTATTTGACAAGGTTTTCCGAGTCTCTAAGTAAAGTTTGCTGAAAGGGGAAACTTTAAATCAAAATATAAAACTGAATTGACATATTTATATGTGCTAGATCGCAAATCTCTAATATTTGATGGTTCGAAAATACGAACAGTATAAATATACATGAATCTATATGCACTATAGTCTGAAGACTCTAGCCCCAAAGATGAATGATATAATTTTATAACTGATTTTTCTATGAGACTTTTTCATATATATATTTCTTATAGTATATTTACTGCAAAATAGTTTTGGATTTTATTTCGAGAAAGCTTGAAAACCTCCTAAATGGACAAGGGACTGAAAAAAGTGAGTAGGAACATTGTTATATAAGGCATTTAATCGATAACAGTGAAACCAAAATAGTTATCGATCAGTATTGATATACATGTGCTATGCTGGAACATCGATTTCAGAATTTTTTTTGTAGATCTTTGTGTAGTAGATCGATCGAGGATATCTCGAAGTCGAGCAGTCTTGACTAGAGCACTCAAACTTAATATAGTATGGGGCATTGCGCTTCGCAACGACAGCCAGCTGAGCATAAGTTACGGTAGCTCAATCGTGGCCCGATCGTCTGCATAATTGTCAACTGCTTAACGTTTTTGGTAATACAGGGTTCGAGTAAATTTATTAAGCTGTTTGTAAAAATCTAGCAGGAAATACATATGAGAAAAAGCTAAGATAAAAGTCTGTTTTGAAGCTGGCCTAAAATATGTTAAATACTACATATTCAAAAGATACTAAAACCAAATTCAAATGAGCTAAACTGAATTAACATAATTTGTTCTGTTCTTGAACAAATTAATTAAAATTATATAAAAATGTTGAATTTATTTTTATTATTCATAACTGATTAGATTATTCAGTGTATAACAATAAAAATCGATGATTGTTTTTATCTCGAGAATCTTAAAAACAAAACAAATCTTTATAAACAAATACATGTACGTACTTATAAATGTATACATAGATATATCTCATTATTAGACAAACTCTTGGAAAACTTGAAATATCATCTTTAGAACGATCAAAACTAATATGAAATATAATATACAAAAAATAAGTAGAAGAAGAGCTAATTAGTTGACGTCATAGAATCGGCTCATCAGCGAACGGGTTTTTTTTTTTCTGATATCTAAAATTGCGTGTTTATCAATTTGATTTAAATTTGTTTTGTACATTTTTGAGGACTTTTGAGCTGGCAACTAGAGAGCTACACTGAGCGAAATGTCAGCTGCAACAACAACAGCAATTGGGTCAAAGCTGGCAAAACTTTTGCCAGGAGGAGAGAGAGAGAGAGAGAGAGAGAGAGAGTGAGCGGGCAGAGCGCAAGGTTGTTGTTGTTGTTTTTTTTAAATATTTTTTTAGCCATGGCTTAGCTCTGCTTCGATACGCGTATAAAAAATTGTTTTTTATTGTTATTTGATTTCTAGCGTTTATCGGTCTGGTGGCATCTTTACGCTGACGAGCGCTTCGAGAACACCCCAGACCCGAAACCGTAGACTGCCCCCTCTACTCCCCCTGCAACAACTCCTCTACTAAGCCCTGCCACGCCTGAATCGCTGCCATTGCTGCTGCTGCTGCTGTTGCTGCTGCTGCTGCCTTGAACGCGTGAAATGGAGTAGAAAAATTGTTTTTCTATCAAAGGCGAAAAATCGCAGCGGCGTGCAGCCCGCCCCCTTCCACTCCAGTCCCTCTGGCCGCCCAGCAACAACCCTCACCCCTGGCCATTAGCCGGCAGCAACAATTTCGTTGTTTATGTTGCCATCGCGCTCGGTTCTCTATCAATTTAATGCCCGCAACGTCGCTGGACACGCGGCTTTAACTTTTTTCGAACTTTGTTTTAGATTTTGTTATTGTTGTTGCTTTTTTATTGTTTCTTCTTTTTTTATGCATGTATATTTTGGGCTGGGGCGGGTGTGGTGGCGGTGCTGTGCTGCTTCGGTTTTTGGTTTTCTGGTTCTGTTTCGGTTTCAGTTTCGGCTTTTTGCTGTCCGCTCTTGTCTGGCGGCATTAGCGCGGCTCAGACTCTGATTTGCGCTGCTAATTGAAGTTTGATTCGCCTCGATGGGGCCAGAGTGCGGTGCAAGCGCGAAAGCAGGTGATTCCCGCACTTGGATCAAGCTGCCAGAAGTCGAGCTTCATAGATTGCCAACTGAATCTACATATATATGTATATGTATATGTATATGTATATGTATATGTATATGTATATGTATATGTATATGTATATGTATATGTATATGTATATGTATATGTATATGTATATGTATATGTATATGTATATGTATATGTATATGTATATGTATATGTATATGTATATGTATATGTATATGTATATGTATATGTATATGTATATGTATATGTATATGTATATGTATATGTATATGTATATGTATATGTATATGTATATGTATATGTATATGTATATGTATATGTATATGTATATGTATATGTATATGTATATGTATATGTATATGTATATGTATATGTATATGTATATGTATATGTATATGTATATGTATATGTATATGTATATGTGTATGTATATGTATATGTATATGTATATGTATATGTATATGTATATGTATATGTATATGTATATGTATATTCATAGATACATATATGCCAAACGAGTCCGGATGAGCACGCAGCCCCGTCTAATATATGCGAGCCAAGCGAGGT